ATGCTTAAAAGGTGGGACTTCTGCCAGACAAGTCCAAAAGGTCCTGCCAAGATGAGGTGTTTCTTCGAAGGAAATGGAAGAAAATGATTCTTGCCCACGAGGGTGGATTTTCATTTAATTTTCCCCTTCAAGGTATAATTGAGACAAAGATGAGGAATGAACTTTAGCTTAGAAGGGGAAGACATGTATGACAGGCCTGACCTTGTGTGCTTAGTGGGTGCAGAAACTCTGTAGACCCAAACGTGGGATCTTTGCTTTTGCAAACGTAAGTGTGGTAGTGAATTCTTCTATATACCATATAAGCTGATATATTAATTTTAATCTTGTGTAACTACTGAATAATGCTTACTGTTCCAGTGAAGTTATTTTTGGCAGTTGATTGATAGTATGTTTGCCACTGCAAAGCACTTCTAGAATCTCTTGAAGAAGCAGGTGGAAGGCCAAAAAGACAAGAAGCACATGGAGCAGTCAATTAAACGGAGGTCAGAAATGAGCCCCTTTTCAAGAAGCATCATCAAGAATTTGTCTGAAAGGAGAGATTTGCAAAGAAGGAAGCAGGTGCCAAATTCCTTTTGGCAGCTGGATACTTAAAAGCTTTTAAAATCAAAAGACTACAGGCAGTACCTGACCTAAAGCTCAAGACACCAGGCAGAGCATACATCTGAGCAAATAAGAGGAAATTTATGGGTTTTTTGACTCTCACAATGGTGAAGGTGCAGCGTGGGGAGAGGTGGTGCTGGCATTACTAAGTTCTGACTGGATTTAGGACACCGTCAGTGTCAGTAAGGAGGGACTTGAGAATGATTTTTGAGCTCTATATTCAAACATCTGGCTGCTTTCCACAGCGTACTGTAGGAAAATAGAGGTTTTGAACTGTCACAAAAGCAAAGGAAGTGCAATAGCCCAGATTTTGATCATAATTACACCCAGGTGTTTCTGAAGAGACTACACCCGTGTCATTGAAGTTATAGTGCAAAACTTGTGTGAAAATTGAATCAAGCCCTTTGTTTTCTTGCATTTATGTACCAAATGAGCACTCTCAGAGCTCTTAGTAAATAATAAATAAATAATGATATGATGATTCCCTTATGACTGGAAAAGTACAAAAAAAAAAAAAAATAGTGTCGGGGTAACAATTTGCCTGCAAGAATATTTGAACGTGTCATTTCTAGATTTTTGTTTTGATGTCTGATAATTTGCTTCAGTTTATCTGAAACATTAGGAATACCGAGTATAGTTGATTAGTGTTTGGTGAGCAATAGAAGAGCTACAACATATAGTTTGTGTATTAAATGAATAAGACTCTCGGTCTGTTGATCATAAAACACCTCTAAATCACCAGCAACAACAGCAACAACAAAGTAGTAACAAAAGCAACTATTGAAAAAAAAAAGTAACAAAACAAGTGCTTTTTCTGTATACTTGCTGTAAAGAAAATTATATTTTAGTGTTTGGGTTTGATTTTGTTTCCCTATTTGTGCCTCAGAATACACCAGATTGCAAAGTTACATCACATTTTTAATGACTGGAGCCATGTCCTGAGATCCCCCCAACCACACCACAACTTCCTTCTCCCTCCTCCCCTCCCAGCTTTAGGGCTGTGTGTGATTATGGAGCTGGGGCTATAATTCAATTAATTATTGACAGGACACGTAATCACCTCTCAGATCTCTTTCTGCTTGATAAATCTCTCTGCTGCTTTTTGACTTCTGTTTGTCATGTGCTTGGGAGGTGGGAAGGCAATAAAAATGTGTTTTAGAGATAGGACATTTCTCAATACACTATCAGTTGGAAAGGCTTCTGACACGGAGTGTCTTAGATGCAGAGCATATTGTTCTCATCCGAGCTAAACGAGTATCCCTGTGAAAGCTCAGTGGGATGGAGGCTTGTGATTCTTTTTAAGTGAAGGATATAATAAGAGCAAATAACTTTGATTTGTGCAAAAGTGTGATCTCTTTCAGGGATTCCAGGCATTCACAGCATTTTTTCTTCTGCTACTGATTAAAGGGAAAGTCATAAATAAGAGCTCTGTGTGCTGTATAAAGGAGGAATGTGACTTTAGAGAGGTGGCTTATTTAGAAATAAATAAAACCCCTTTGGCCTTCGATAACCTTTGACCAAAATCTGCTGGTTGAAAAAAAAAAAAAGAAAAAAAAAAAGGACCAGACTGTTTCTTTAACTACTAGAAGCCTGGAAAGGACAGAGAAAAGGAGCTTTTCTCCGTAAAACAACAAGATGTCCCAGGGAACGGGCCGGGGGCGCTACCCCTAACTTCGGGTTACAATTGACGCATGTCAAAAGCAGATAAGAGAAAGAGATAAGGAGGTGAGAAAGCAGAGACGGTCTCTCTCGTGAAGCGACGAGAACTAAAGCGGCGGGAGAAGCAATCTCTTAGATAGGGGCTGCCCTTGCAGCGCGGTCTGGGGCGGCTCGACAGCAGTTTGGGGACGGGAGGGCAGAGCCGCACGATGCGCTGCTCGCGTGGGCTCCTTGGACCTGCTCTCCTCGCACCGTTCACGCGTGTAGGGGAGCCCGGGTCAGCGCTGCGGGACAGCCCCGGCAGGGCCAAGGGGGTCCTCAAGGCAGGCTACTTAAAAAGAAGAAGAAGAAAAAAAACCCCTACTTTTCTGACCCTCTGCACAGCTTTTCAAGAGTTCCCTTATGTGCCTGTCTCACGCCTGATCTTCTTTTCCCGAGTCTTCTCCTAGATTCACACTCCAGCTCGGGGTGAAACCTTCAAGGAAGGTTTGCATGTATCCTTGTTAGCATCTAGTCTTAAAAAAAAAAAAAAAAAGAAAAAAAAAGAGAGATGAAAAAATAGAGGGAATAAAACCCCCCGGGAGGCTGGGAGCGGCGCAGCGGCCCCGGGGAGTGCGAGGGGCTGCCCGGGACCGAGAGTCCCTACCGACCTTCCTTGTCGCGCCCACGAGGGCCCGTTCCGTGCGCCCCGACGTGAGCGTCGGGCTCGGCCCTTTGGAAAAACCCCACAGACTTCGGTTGCTCCCACATCGGGAGCGGTGCTGAAAAGGAGCGGAGCGTCTGCATCCTTATGTAAGAAGCAATCCTGCTTGCTGTGCGAGGCTCACGCTTGCAAAGCGAGGAGCGGGGGAAAGCTATACCTATATATATCTATATATCTATATATCTATATCTATACATATATTTATATATATGTACATAAAAGTTGGTTCTAGCTGGGGCTATAGAGGAGGAGGTAAGGCTAATGCACGGATGCATCCTGGTGGGAGACAAGAGCATCACTGGAAAATATCAGGCAGTGACACGGGATTCTCTTTGCAGAGTGTAGCGTCTGCGGGTGGGCAGAGCCGCGTCCCGGGTGGGTAGAGCCGCGTCCCGGGGGGGCAGAGCCGCGTCCCGGGTGGGTAGAGCCGAGTCCCGGGGGGGCAGAGCCGCGTCCCGGGGGGGCAGAGCCGAGTCCCGGGTGGGTAGAGCCGAGTCCCGGGGGGGGCAGAGCCGCGTCCCAGGTGCGCAGAGCCGCGTCCCGGGTGGGCAGAGCCGCGTCCCGGGTGGGCAGGGCCGCGTCCCGGGGGGGCAGAGCCGCGTCCCGGGGGGGGCAGAGCAGAGTCCCGAGGTGGCTGCTCCTGCTGCGAGGCCGCGGAGCTGCGGGAGCCTCCCGGAGCTCGGGGGCTTCGCGGGAGGCTGCAGCAGGAGCTCCGCACGCGGCTGGGAGGAGCGACCCCGCCGCGGGCTCCCACGGGCCCTGCCCGTCCCGCGGCCCCCGGGAGGCGACACGCGGCAGCGCAAAGGTGAAGCCCTGGCGGCTTTAAAGGCTCATAGCCCCGGCCTGCCCATTCGAGGCGGGACGCGCTGCAGGGGTCTGTCCCAGGCTAACCTGGGGTGGGTGGCACGGGGCATGGCAGGGACAGCGCAGACCTGCCCGGGACAAGCGGGGGCTACGGTGCCCGCAGCACCGAGCGCAACCTTCCCTCAGGTTCAGCTCGGCGTCAGCCGCCTCCAGCTGCGCGGAGCCGCTTCCTTGCACCCAGGGTGCGGGTCACCAGCGGCTCTGACCCCCAGGCTCCTCGTCCCGGCGCTGTCCCAGCCTAGGGAGGGAGCTTTAAAGATACGTGTGGAGGTAGCGGGAGAAGGTTGAAGCCCAGCTCTTCGAGGAGGACTTTGAGGACCTCCTTCGCGGGAGTTTGCGGGTTGCTTCCCCTCAAATCCCCGAGAAATCCCCATCCCCTCAGGACCCCCCCGCCTCCCCCTCCCAAACCGGGGCCCGATCCCTGTGCCCGGTCAGGATCCTTCTTTCGCAGGTCGCTCTCTCAGGTCCATTGACTGGCGGCTCCAGGGGTGGCACCGGCACCGCCGCCCCCCGCCGCGCATCCCGCAGCGTCGGCCGTGTCGGCCACGCAGCGGATGTCACAAGGTAGCAAAAGGGAAAGTGAAGGTAACGCGCTGAAGTGAGTTTAGTGAGAGTCAGTCACGGTTAGACGTATATTTACTCAACCTTTATTATTTAAAAAAAATCCATAAAAAAAAGGTGAACGAACGTCTTACAAAACCCCCCCACATAAATAGGACATTCCGTTCAGCTCTGGCTATTGGCAGTTCTAGTACTCCACAACATCAGACACGATTTCCTGGCATTAGAGAAACCCATTTCAAAATCGGTCATCACAAAGAAATACTAGAAATCCCAGTTAGCGCTTGCTAGGCAGCACGGAGCACTTGTACATAACTTTTCAGACACACACCCGCGCACACACACAGCTGGGAACAGATCCCGTAGGAAGAGAGCCTCCTTAAAAAATAGTAAACGCTTCTCCGAGAGAAAAAAAAAAGTTATTTACAAAACGCACATGGAAATACAGTATTGACAGAGCGTGGCTGGCAAATCAACATGATTTGAATAGAGACTATGGCACATCTTGCTCGAAAGCTCGCACAGCAGCCTCCTTCGAGTGCCCCCGGGGAGGCAGCGCTGCCCTCGGCCCGCGGTGCCCTCTCCCCGCCGCCCCCCTGCCGCCCCCCCCACCTCTCCACCGGCTCCTTTTACACTTGGATGACCACCGTGCTGGGGCTCTGGAGCCGGGTTTTGTACTGGTCTAGCCAGCTGCGCAGCTCTGAGATCTTGTAGCCCTCTGGTCCTCTGCCTCCCTGGTACATCACCTTCTCCTCCTGGATGATGTAGAGCCTCTCGAAGTAGGCGCCGTAGGCGGCGCTGGAAGCATTGTCCATGGTGTCCACGGCCAGGGGGCAATCGGGCGCCCCTTCCCTCATCAGCTGAGCTGCCCGCAGCCTGTCCTGGAGGCACTGGTGCTTGGGGATGTTGTAGGCTGCGTCCGAGCTGACCCAGCCGTCGGAGGGGTGCGCTTCCTCGATGTACACCAGCAGGAAGTCGGCAATGTCCACGAAGTGCGCGGCCAGGCGCTGGAAGGAGCGCAGGCGGGCCATGAACGGCGGTCAGGTGCAGCTGCCGAAGTTGAGGATGAGGGGTCTCTTCCCGCGGGCGAAGTCGAGGATGCGGAGCCGCTTCTGCCCGTCCAGCTGGATCACCTCGGGGTTGGGGGCCAAGGAGCCCACGTGCGCCGACTTGAAGAAGTCCAGCTTCTGGCCGTGCCACACGGCCTTGAGCGACTCCAGCGTGAACATGCGGTTGGAGTCGGACACGCAGACCGGCGGGTCGTCGGGGGGCGGCCCCTCGCCGGCGCTCGCCGCCTCCTCCGCCGCGGGCATCGTCAGCATCTTCTTCCTGATGCACAGAAAATCCAGGAGCCAGAGCATCACGGCCGTGAGCAGGAAGCGGGGGAAGAGGAGCACGCAGGCGGCCGCCTGGCTCAGCAGCTGCAAGGTGTGAACGCCGAGGGAGTGGAGCATCGCCGCGGCTGCCGGGGCCCGCGCGCCTCGCCTGAGATCCCGCTTCTCCTTAAGCCCATTTTATAGTCGGGGATTTAAATGAAAAGTGACTCCACCTCCGGCCAGAACCCGCCCCTCTGGAACTTGAGCCTGGGGATTACCTACCCCTCCACTCTTAATGACCTAAAAATACACAGACAAAAGGCGAGAGAGCCCCGGCGGCAGCGCCGAGGGAGGGACGTGCGCGCCGGCAGGGCGCCCGCGACGCGGCCCGCGGCGCCCGCCCCAACGGCCCCGCCACGCACCGTGCAACAGGC